TTTGTTTTAGAGCAAGGTAGGGTGGCCATACGCCTGGACATGTCCTCTTTTTCAAAGAGGTGAATTTTTTATATTTTGCAAAACGTCTGGGTTTTTATTTTTATTTTTTGTACTATTTGTACCAGGGTCGCTCTAGGACTCACTGTGGTGAGGCCTCGTGTGGCCTTCCGGGGCTCACTTAGACCTTGAGTTGTTTCCGGTGGCCCCCAGGCCTCACACAGTCTTCCTGGGGTCGCTCTAGGCTTTGTGTTGTGTCTGGCGGCTGCCAGGCCTGGTGCGACCTTCCTGGGGCCATTTAGCCTCACATCTTCTGGAGACACACCGTCTTGTGAGCAGGAGGCCGAAGTCAGCAAAGGTAAGAGAGGGGAGGGAAGGAGAGAGCAAGGAAGGGGTTAGCAGCAGGGAGGGGGCGACCCATGGAGATGTGAGATGGGGGGGTGCTCTGAATTTTTCTCACAAAATGTTGGGAGGGTATGTCATTTTCAATTTTAGTTACAATTATTAAATATTTCAATACACCTGCACATACACTATTACTACTATTTTTCTTCCTCACCCCCGTCCTGCCCCACCTACAAATGTGTGTCCTCTTTGGAATCGGGCAACACTAGGTAGAAATAATTGTGTAACAGCATTTTTCTCCATTCCGATGCATTCAATATAAATTTCCTGCTAGGGGAGGGGCTTGCTGGAAGCAGATCCACACACCCTTTCTGGAAATATTGTGGAACTGCATGTGGCTCAGATCTACCTTACCTGCTCTATTCCACCCAGCAGCTACAGCAGCTTTTAATAAGTGAATACAGTGGTGCCTCGGGTTAAGTACTTAATTCGTTCCGGAGGTCCGTACTTAACCTGAAACTGTTCTTAACCTGAAGCATCACTTTAGCTAATGGGGCCTCCTGCTGCTGCCGCGCCGCTGGAGCACGATTTCTGTTCTCATCCTGAAGCAAAGTTCTTAACCTGAGGTAATATTTCTGGGTTAGCGGAGTCTGTAACCTGATGAGTATGTAAGCTGAGGTACCACCTTGGGTTACATGCGCTTCAGCTTACATTTTCTTCAGGTTACAGACTCCGCTAACCCAGAAATATAACCTCAGGTTAAGAACTTTGCTTCAGGATGAGAACAGAAATCGTGCAGCAGCGGCGCAATGGCAGCAGGAGGCCCCATTAACTAAAGTGGTGCTTCAGGTTAAGAACAGTTTCACGTTAAGAACAGACCTCTGGAACGAATTAAGTTCTTAACCTGAGGTACCACTGTATAGGGAAATGGCTGGTACAGAATTTGTTGCAACACATACACAGGCCATCTCTCTCTCTCAATTGCTGTTTGCTTAAAACTCAGACACTGGGCTTTAAAAGTGTGGACTGTGCCTGGAAAGCGTGGAAGAAACTATGGATAGGACTTGGGCTACCTGATCAGTCACCTGGTTTTTCTTGCTATAGTTGTACTTTTTGGCTTAGGAGTGGTAGCTAGAGCTGAATGGCCAGAGGACAATAAGATGGACAGAAATGCCTCTGTAAGTTCATGGAAGTATACAATAGGGGGGGGGCAGGAGAGGTGGTGCGACTGTGAGATTTGAGGAGAATATTTCATTTTCAGTAGGGGGTGGCATTCCCCAGTAATTCCATTAGACCAGCCTCCACTGCATATGAGGTAGATGAAGTGCCATTTATGAAGGCAAGGCTTCAAACCCCTCCCCCCAGCCGGAACTTTCCGGAACACAGTTCTGGCACCTCTCAGGTGGGCACCATTTCCATTCTAAGAGAAACAAGGGAGGCATTCATGGTGAGTTCCTGCACCTCTTTTTCTAGAAAAATAGCACTTCTGGAGGCAGGTATGAAAGTTAACATTTCCCCAAATGGAACATGACATAAGGAGATCAACTCAGAACAATAATACACAGAAATGGGATTTAGGATGGCATCCTGGGCACCTATAACAGGAGTTTTTGGTTTTTTTTTGTCCTACTGGGCAGTGTTATTTTAACTCAACTTTAGTTGTAGGCAGTGGCTGTGAAAAACTGGCTTGTGTTAAAAAGAAGCAAGGGACCCATGGACATGAGCCCATCCCTTCCTTCAAGAGAATAGTGAAGGAAACTAATAGCTCTGATTAGATGACACCACCACCCATTTGGGTGGCAAAGTGAATCCTAGAGAGGGAGAATTATATCCACTGAAAATATGTCAAGTGCTGTAGAAAAGGGAATCTTAAAAATATGGGATACAGAATTTTTCTATATGAATGTGGGATATAGATTTTCCCCCAAATATATAAATATTATATAAACACACAGAGAAAAATAAACCTACATTAAAGTTATGAGAAACACAGTTCATTTTGGGATATTGTATTTGAAGTTGGTAATATATTCTGAGTGTGTAGATGGTAAAATTAAAAAGACAAAATTGCCAGAAATGTTGAAGGCTCAAAAATAAAAACGGGCTTGTTCTAAAATGTCTATAGTTACAAAAGAAATTCATATTTATAGAAACTATTCAGGAATTAGCATATTTATATTATTTAATTTATCCCAGACACATTTTTCAGGTGTGCCTACGTGAGGGGAGGCTATGCTATGAGATCTGCTTTTTAAATGTGGCAGATCTATTAAAAACGACAATTGTAGCATGGAGGGAAGTTCTGTGTTTCTAATTGCATGTTCGGTTACAGGAAATGTGAACAGAGTATTATCCATATGTTGTCTTCAGGAGAATTCAAGATATCTCTAGATACGTATTTATTTTATCTATCCTGTATGCCTATTCAAGCGGATAACCCTATGGCAATTTCAATTATGTTAGACAGTCATAACACAATCTCTCTCTCTCTCTCTCTCTCTCTCTCTCTCTCTCTCTCTCTCTCTGTGTGTGTGTGTGTAAGTAGAAAATGTTAAATTATGTTTCAGCATAGAAAGCAAAAGCATGAAATGAAGAGATGTCTAGATAACTGTTGAGGACTACTAAAAGATTGGAATATCTGTGGGCTATATGAGCGGAATTTTGAAGTATTGGGTCTCTGAAGTCAAGTATCTTTTGGAAAATAATAGCCTGGGGAAATTGTAGCATTGCTTCAGATTCATATGCTTTCATTCCCAATGAGATTTGGAAACAATATTTTTCTTTGTCTCTACCGTGTGCTGCAAACCTAGGAACTATAGCAGTATATTTGCATATAGATCTTTAGATTTTGCTTAATCAAAATGGCTGCTGGGTACTTTAGGGTATGCTAATATTAAATTCCACATAGTCCCTGGGATAGATCATATACACATGATGGATAAGCTGCATTTTCTACCTTAATTGTTACCTCATGCTACTGGGTGCTTCCAGATGGGTGCTGTATTTTTCGCTCCATAAGACACACCTGACCATAAGACGCACCTAGTTTTTAGAGGAGGAAGACAAGAAGAAAAATATTCTGAATCACAGCCTCCTCGGGAGGAGAGCGATCCCCGCAGAGGCTTGGGAGGGAAGCTGCGCACCTGCCAGCCATATGGTTGGTGGAGCGCAGCTTCCATCCTAAGCCTCTGCGAGGATCGCTCTCCTGCGGAGGCTTGGAAGGCTTTCCTTCTCCCCACTTTTTTCTCCCCCTCCCCCAGTAGCACAGGCCCCTTTTCCAGCCGCCTCTTCTCCGTCCCATCCGCCCAAACTCCTCAGGCGACGTCTGCAATTTCTCCCCTTCGCTGCTGCCTCTCCTTTGCCCTCTACCATGACTCTCCACTCACAGCAACCTACCTCCTCTCCCTTTGCCCCGCTTCTCGGTCCCCCTCCTCTTGGTCCTCTTCCTCCCCTCTTTCGGCAGCTGCCTCTTCTTGCCGTCCTCCAGCCAACATCCCCAGAGCCATCAGGGGAAAGGGGAGTCCGTTGGTAAAAGCCTCTCTCAAAGAGAGCAGCTCGGGAGCGTGAGGCAACGTCGCACAGGCTGCCCACCACTCCCAAACCTTTCAGGGGAAAGGGGAGGCCGCCACCAAACCAGGAGGGCGGGACAACAGCAGGCGTTGCACTCGGGCGATTCGGCTCCAGGGACGACACATTCTCTCCATAAGACACACAGACATTTCCCCTTACTTTTATTCTGGGATCGCTACTGCTCTCAAACATGAAAGTTTTTTGCAGCAGCCACACAACATCATTGGCCTAAAAATGCCATTCTAAATTTCCTCCTGTTTAATCTCAATTTACCTGTCTGGGGATAATCCAATACATTCTGTTTAAAAAACCTAAAACATGTTGCCAATGACTATTTGTAATATCCCCCATTCCTTACTTCACAGTTCCCATTTCAGATTGCTGCCCCCATAATTGCTTTTTATAAATGAGCCATAACCATTCACAAATGTGACTCAGAAATGTGCCTAAAGTTGCCTGTACTTTATGTAAATAGATGGATATATCTTACTGGTAAAGCAAAAGTCTGGTTTCAAAAAAAGACATTGGTAAAACTGCCCTATTCCTATGTTAAGTACAGAGAGTGTGTAATCCATAGACATTAACTAATATGCGCTGGTTGTTGTTGTTTTTTTTAAATCAAGGGTTTATTGGGCAGAGTATACTTAACAATTTGAGTCTTTTTCAATTTGGGGAAATGGATTAGCTTAAATGTACTCACATTTGTATATCGAATCCCAACAACATGTTTGGATTCAACTCCTTCTTACATTCCTGTAGCTCCATCTAGATTAATAGCACAGTAAGGTTTTGAGTAAGGTCCAAGTAAAGTAAGCCAATAACTGGACAAACCTATACATGTGTACTCAAAAAGAAGCCAAACTTAAGTTGAATGGGGCTTACGCCAAGGAAATTCTCCATAGGATTATGGAGTTTCCCCCTCATTCTTCTTGGATGTTCTTCCTATTGTTTCAACTAGTCCCATCTTTCAGGTAACATTGTGAATGCTCATCAGGTACTGTGATCATAGGATAATTTGAAAAGGGAGTTAATGGGAAGAATAAAGAATCTTTTTCTTATGCCTTGGTTGTCACCCTAGGTTGATAACTAACCTGTTAAATGCCTGTATGTCAAGCAGTACACAAGAAGAAACATTTCTGGCATCTGAATTCATGGGGAGGAGGGCAAGGTGCATAGTTCCAAAGCCATTAAGCTCCACAGCCATGTAAAAAAAAAAGAATAATGACTCAGGACTCTTCATTCCGGCTTTACCTGAGCTTTGTATAGAGAGATGCCTGTCTTTTATTTAATAAACTGTTGTACTTTCATGACACAGAGGCTGTCTGCAAATACCCAAATGTGGTAATGATATTCATAGCTGACTGTTAGATAAGATCAGCCATCACATGGACTTAAAATACCTTCTCTTTAATTTCGTACAAGATGCAAAGTTCAATGTTAAGAATATCCTTTAATGATTTGCCCTTTTGACAGCTTCCTGTACCCTTGAATGTCTTGATTTTTTCTATGCTGCCTTTGATTTCTTTCTTGGAGAATTGCATTTACTGGGCAAAGCCTAGTTCATGGGTAAGGAACCAGTGTAACCCTCCAGAGTCCAGATGTTGTTGGACTCCCATCATCCCTGAACATTGACCAGGCTGGTTTATGAATATATCCTTCTGATGAGAGCTGAAGACCAAAACATAGAGAGGGCTACACTTTCCCCATCCCTGGTCTAGGTGATTGGACATTTGTTCAGCTTGGCGTGTAAACAACAGTATGCACTACAAGGTTTAAACATAGTTTCTTGACAAATCTGCCTTCTGCAGTGGCAATATTTATATTTATTTTTGGCAGTGTTCTTTGTAATGTATCTACTACAGATTTATATGCCAGTAGATTGTGAAGAAGCTACCTTGGGAAAGGTGACAGGGAAAGGAATGGAGACAGCAGTGGGTGCTCCCACAGATGTGTGGAGATTCCCACCTCCCGTTGAGGTGGGATGTGACTAGTCCTAAGATCCCCAGTGAGAAAAAGATGCTCTGTACAACTACATCTATGGAACCACCTGCCACAACTACCCTGCTGTCTTCCCCAAGGTAGCTTTCTTTGTCTAGGGGGTAGGAGGAGGAGGAGGCAGTAGCAGATGCTCAAGGGGCTCAAAAACCCAACATAACTATACCATTTTGGAATAGGGAGGTAATCACTCCTCCCTATTTCCAGTCTCAACCTATGGAGTGAAATTATACTGAGTTTTCTAGTCACAGAGTCTAGTGGTTAAGTTTGACTATTGTGCATAATTAAAACCTCAACCCCTATCTTTCCTAATGATGAGTATATTCATAATAGCCCTCACTAAAATGATCTGCCACTGTGATAAAATGCAATTTACTGTGAGACAGTGGGATGCTTCTATCATTGGCAGTGATGCGCATGAGGATTCAACTGATTAAAGCAGGTGGGAGAGCAGGTGGCACTGCCTCCCATACCGGATGTGCTTGCCTGCTGTCCACACATTAGATGTGATGGAAGAGGAGCTATAGTGCAATGGAAGTTGGGTCTGCACTGACCCTAAATCACTGTTACCTCCAACATGTGACACCATCTTTCTCTCCCGCCACACCTTTGCAGCCTTGCGTGAGCAAGTTATAACCATCTCACAATGCCCTACTGGGCTAATTTGATCATATTCTGAAGAGTCAATATTTTTAGTTTCTGTTTAATTCCAACATGGGTGAGTTGCTTCACATCATTTGGCATTGTATTAATGTTAATGCCTTGCTTAGCATTCATTTTAAACGATTGCGCAGTAGAAATTTGCCATCTTCACAGCAAGCGGAAGCTTTCTGCTCCTTTAATTACCCGTGCATGATTCCTCATGCTACGCATTGGACAAGTGTGTCAGCTGCTGTGAAGGATAGGTGCTTAATCAATTATGGATTACAGAACTTCACAAGAAGACTTAATCGCAAGGGACTTGGTATTGCTTAGAAATGCTCTAACCAGCTTTTGTTTTAACCGAGTAAATTTTCCAGATTTTCAATTTGCCCTCTTAGAAATATTAAGCGATTGGGGTGTGGGGAGAAAGCTTCAGTTGTATAGATTCCATGTGTCTGTTTCAGCGTACAGACAAATCTGGCATATAGGTCCACTCTTCTGCCACTGACAGCCATCCACCTCCAATGTAGTGGTGAAGCGGCAGCATTCCATATCATGCTATCTCCATATGGTCTAAATAATGCATCTGCTAATGGTGTGGCCTTTAGCTGCAATTTCCTGACATTTTGGAGTGTCTGTGAACATTGAAAGCCCTTAACACAGCATGCAAAGCAGAAAGCTTTTTTTATTAATTGAACCATCACTGTACCCAAGACTACTGGGGAAAGGGCTTCAGAGGCAGCAATCAGATTATGGAATGCCCTACCAGAGAGGCAGATTTTTTGTGTTCTTTTTGGTACCAGATGAATACCTTTTTATTTATGCAGGCTTTTAAATGGTGAACTTTTTGAATTCATCCAATTTTAGGTCCGCTGTATAATTTTCATGATGCTGTTTTACCCTCTGCTGATGTTTGGTGTGTTTTTTTTAATGCCAAGTGTTTAAGCTATAATTTGTTTACTTCTTTTATTGTTCCATTTTTTATTTATTGTATCCTTTATTATTTCCAGAGAACACTGTTTGGGGACAGCACATAAATGGCTGTTAATACAAAAATAAACAGTATTTGATTTATGGGCCCTAATGTGGAGATCCTAATGTACAGCATCATCGTAATTTACACATTGTTGCTTACAGGGATTTCTTGCCTGCTAATTAATTAAATGATTGATGCTGGTAATTCAGATGGCAGCTGATGCAGAGGAGTTGGGCCTACCTGGGTTAAATGTCTCCCATGCCCAACCAGATTATCAGAGCTCCTTGGTGCACCTCCAGCCCAAAGGCTATACACATGCATTGCCCCCCACTTTCTGCTATTCTTCAGGGGGTAGGAATCCAAAAAGAGCAATCTAGCTCCTATTTCTGCATGTGGATTGTCTTTGCCTTGTTGGTCCTCTGGTCTTCAAATCTGTGAATCTAATAAATTTTCACTCACAAGAAAATAAACACATGACAATAAAATAGCCATTAAATAAGATAAATGTGTGTGGGGGGAGGGGGGGAGGCCATTCAAACAGAAGACAATTGAGGAATTGAATCTTCTTCTTTTTTTAAAGTCAACTTACACTTTGCTTTCTGCTCCACAGAAAATGTATTCCTAAAAAAAAGATTTAATGCGTTGCTGGTGTAGAGAAATCAATTCTTTCAAATCAATGGTAATTTTGTAGGCAGTTAGTACTTATTCACATGAATGAGTGTGCCTCTGCTGGTGTTCTGCAAAAATAATCAGTGGCAGAACAATATTAAACTTTGGAGCTTAATTTGCAAGTACGTAAAATAGCATCTATTGATGCTCATGCCTCTTTTATGTCTTTATTGAAATGTCTCCCTTTTCTACAAGCACAAGACAATGGACAGCACTCAGATGTATCTCTCTCTGTGTAGGTAATGAACCCCCTTCATTCTTTGCCTGGGTAGTTTATCCTGGGGGTGCTGCCTGGGAGGTTTAGGGTGCACAAGGTGCTGTAATAATTAGTAGGGTGTAAATTATTTGGAAAATCATACAGTTGACCCAATAAACTAGCACCATACCATTGCTTAAAACGTTGGAATAATTTTGAAATGCAACAAGCCCCATAAGTATGCAGCACAACATGTGTTAAGTCAAAGGTGTTCAGCTGGTGACTGAAAGAAGGTTAGGGCACCACCATCACAGTTTTTAAATGTTCTTGCTCCTTTCAGTATCATTGCCTTTCCTTTCAGCCAAGGCTATGCAAACTTGGTACATCATGAAAGGAAGAGGAGAAATGTATTTTGATCCAGTATGATGTCCACCATCAAAGGAAGTGGTGGGCCAAGCAAGATGTAGCCCAGTAGGCCTGCGGTTGTGTAACAGAGGGAGATAAAAGAAAGTGAGGAACTTGGACAGGGACCAAAATATTGGTTCAAGACTATGGTTAATAGTCCTGCAGAACATGTTGCCTGAGAAGCAATTGGCAGAGCTTTATAATCTAAGTCCAGATGAAACCCCACCTCACCCCGGAGTGCTGCATCTGCCTTGTTAAAGGGCTGGTCTGCACAAGAAAAGTGAGCAAGAGAGATGTGCAGATACTGAAAGAGGGAGGGCAGAGGAAGATAGAGCCCACTTGAGACTGGCCGGGGGCAGCTAATCTCAGTGTAGGTTCCCCTACACTGGGCACCAAGCCAAGGGGGTGCAAAATGTTGATCACCACCACCACCTATATTTATACAAGTACCTACTGAGAGGTTCATTTAAAAAGCAATTTTTGTCCTTGCTTAGGACATCACCAAAGTCCACCCCTGCCAGGGGCTGGGTCCCCACCCTCACATGTTGGGGGAAAGACTGCTGTCGTAGTCAAGGGTGATTGAAGTTCTATAATTTATTTACTTAGATCCATGGAGGGAGTCATTTAGTACAACACATTATTTGGATGGGTACTCAGAACTTTGAGACTTGGTCTCCATGGCATAGTGGCAGTTTGAAAAGACTTTAAAAAATAAAGAAAAAATGGATTTGATTCAAGGGAGATTTCAGTGGCGATCCTGGTGTGTGCTTTCATAAGTGTAATCCCCCCCCCCCATTGCTGCTGGTTTCTTATCTGTCAGAAGCACACACATCTTCATTCCAAATTGGGCAGAAAGTGGCTAAAATATTCATTTGCAAAGGCCTCCAACTGTAAGCAGGCTAGCGTTGTAGCATGGCTGATATGAATAAATGTTTGCCAATAACATTATTAATTTTCTAAACTTGCTGAAAATGAAAGAGAATACCAGACTAAGCTCAATGTGATTAAATTTAGCTGCTTTGATGTTTCTTAAACAAATCTTTGGCAGAAGGTTATATTCCAGCCTTGCCTGTGTGTCCTGTATAATTTAATATATTGACAGCCTCAATGGCTGCAAATTTCAGTGATATCTAGTTGGCCTTGTATTTTTGCTCTCTTGGTTCTTTAGGAAAAAGAAAACCCCAAAGCAATAATCCCTCTTTCACTGTACTCTGAGCTGCTAGTTATCCATGGCTCCCAAGTCTCCTTTTCTGCCACCCATTTCTATTCATGTTCATAGTCTCTTCTTTTGACACACTTGAAAAGCTCTTAATTCAGATGTTGATTCTTCCATCAGACTTTCCCTTGCAAAATATTTTCATTTGCCATTGATTCAGCCTATATTCATAAGTTGCTGTTTGCAGATGAGACCATCAAGCCAGTCTCTGGGTGACTGGAAACATTTTGCTTGTGTTTGCATAGAGAGATAGCAACAGCATCTGAGACCATGGAGCAAACTGAGTTCTTGGTAGGGCAGATTTCTTACAGCTCTTTTGATCAGAAAGAAGGAGTCCAAAAATATTGTAGGGTGAAGATCAAAAGGGAATATTCTTTTCATGCTTTAAGCTGTGCAGCATCCTGCAGGCATTTCTCCTGCACAAGCCCCATTGCAATGCATGGAAACTGCTCAAGCTGTGTTTTTGTACAGTTCCCATTCATGTCAGTGGGGCTTGGAGCAGAAAGAGATTATTTCCTTCTAAGGGAGGCACTTTAGGGTTGCCATATTTTGAAGAGCAAAAAAAAGGACACGTTCGCTGGCTTCTACTTTTAACTATGGATCGCTATGACAACTCTACCCATGGAAAAGAAGGATGTGTCCTGGAAAAAGAGGACATATGGCAATCCTAATGGTTTGGGGAACCTGTGGCCCCCCAGATGCTGGGCTCCAACTCCTATCAAATCTGACCATTGGACATGCCAGCTGGGGCTGATGGGAGTTTGAGTCCAACGACATGGGGAGGTCCCCAGAACAGCCCCATTCCTGCCCTAAAGCTTGTGGTGCTTTCTTTTATTGGACCTGATGCAGAAAATTCTGACTCAAGCCACAATGCTCCTCAAGAAGATAGGAGATGTTGCCAGGTCAACTTTAGCTTAAGAGAGGGCTTAAAGAAAGAAGCTGCTTAATGAAACCCATAAACTGTGTTTTTTAAAGGGTACACAGTACCAGCACTTCTTTTTTTGTTGTTAAAAAGTATGGCACTTACTGTAACAACCTCAGGGTGACTACTGGCACTTATTTTTCTAGGAAAAAAAGCACTGCCCATGAGGCTTATTTTTTGACACTCCCCAGCAGGACTGGTGAACAATGTGCTTGGGGCAGAAGGGTGATGGCCTGGAGAGCATCCCAAAGCCCGTAGAGAGAGGCCTGGAGGGCTGCATTTGACTCCTAAGCCTGATCTTTCCCACCTCTGCTCTAAATGGGAAACAGTACAGTTTGGTTTTTCCTATATCATATCCCTATGCAGGTGAATCCCTTCATTGTATGGGAGAGATGAAGAACGAGGACAAGGTGTGTTCTAGACTGACAGGGCACAAAGTCCTGCATCTTAATTGATCCCAGGAGAAGTCTCCCATTTCCTGGTGACCTCTGGGCTCCTTCGGGGTGGGGCTTAAGAACATGGTGAATTTGCATTCTTTAGCCGCTGCGGTTCCCCGATTCTCTCTCAGTTGATCCTGTGTTCATTGTCCTAAGGGCTCCTTACTACTGGGATCCATCACAGAGCTCTAGCAAAGGGGGTGAGCTAGCGCCGCCTCTTTCCTACCTTCATAATGATGGACAGCTTGTATATTGGCAAGTGACATGAGGCAAGTGATGGCTAAAGAGCAGACCTTTTCAGGTTATGGAACAGCCTCACCAGAAAGGCTCAGCAAGCACTGTCTCTCTGGTCTTTTCAGTGCCAGGAGAAAATGTATTTGTTCGCTCATATATTTTTAATTTTGTTTCAGATCTGGACTGTGAACTGTTTATACTGCCTCTGCTGGAAGGGAAGATGTTAGCTGTTTCTTTCTGACTTTTAATAATTCTAAAAATAACTTCCTTTCTGATTTTAATAATTCTATATTATATTTTTAGTATTATCTTTGTAAGCTGACCAGGGAATCATGATTGATGGGTGGCAATATAAAGTGAATGAGTGCTGATAATTGATATGAAATGATTATTTGAATTGATAGGAGAAGATTATGGGGATGGTGCTGGTCATGTATATTTTCTATACAACTGTCATGGAGTATGTGGCTTAGAAATTTAAGAAATATACTCAGTCCCTGTCCTGCACTTGTGCCTCTTTACCTCTGAGGGACAACAGGATGGACAGAGAGGAACTCCTTATTGAATTGGCACTTGGGCTCCTGTTCTTTCATTCAAAACCATGCCTGAAAGTTGTAAGTGGCACCTGTGTTAGAGCTCATTCACACTTCTGACACTCATCATAACAACTTGTCCTTTTATATATATATACAGAGATCACTGTAGTACCTGGACTGAATATATATATGAAAGTTGAAAGAAATGAAGACTCCTTTCTTTGGTACATTTTTGCATTTTCATGCTCCAAAGGCTGATGACATTAGCATTTCACTTGCTGTGCACCGACAAGACCTTAACCGCCTGTCTTGTATCATATTTTCTTTTTACATAGAAATGTTATACTTGGGGCAGAGAGGTGCTGCTGCTATATATGTAGAATGGCCGCCCTATAGAATACGTGTTTAGGGTGGAAGGCAAGGTGGGGTATTCTGAAGGCAGCCCTGTATTGGGAAGTTTTTAAATATCTGACATTTTATTATGTTTTTATATGTACTGTAAGCTGCCCAGAGTGGGGGAAACCCAGCCAGATGGGTGGGGTATAATAATAATAATAATAATAATAATACAAAAACACATACAACCAACATTTCCCCTATGAAGAAAGGCTTTGGGGCTTTTTAGCCTTATAGTTTAGAGAAAAGGTTACTAATATGTTAGTTTAATGTGTTTAATGTGTTAGTGTTATGTAGTGCTTTTGTATTGTATTGTATTGTTTTTGTAGTGTTTAAATTGTTGGAAAAGTAATAAATATTATTTTCCAAAAAAAAAAAAAAAAAGAGAAAAGGTTACTAATATAGGACATGATAGAGGTGTATAAAATTAGGCATGGTAAGGACAAAGAAGGCAGAGAGAATATTTTCTCCCTCTCATAATACTAGCACTCCAATGAAACTGAATCTTTGGGAGACTCAGTTCAGACAAAAGAAACTACCTATTCACACAGTGCAAAGTTAAGTGGACTATATCTCCTATCTTCTTTGATCACTGATCACGCTGGCTAGGGCTAATGGAAGTTGGAGACCATCAAGCTCTGGAAGGCACCAATTGACTTCTCCTCCACTATATCTTTCTTAAATCTCTCCATAGTTCAGAAAAATGAAGCCTTGTGATGATAATGAGGTGTTCCATGGGTGTTTCAGAGCATTTGCCAAATTCTGAAGCCCCTCAGATATAGGATTGGACCCTATTTTATATATATATAAAGATATGCCTCTGAAAACCAAAGACGTTCTTGCTCTGTGCCTGAGTGCCTTTGTAGTTTAGTGGTTGGTATTGGACTAAGACCTGGGAGACCAGGGTTCAAATTCCCACTCAGCTGTGAAGCTCACTGGATGACCTGGGCCAGTCATTGCCTCGAAACCTAACCTACATCATAGGGTTGATGTAGGAATTAAATGAGGAGGAGAACAGTGTATGCCACCTTCAGCTGCTTGGAGAAAAATGGTGGCATAGAAATTCAATAAATAGTAATAATAAATATTCATTGTGGATTAAAAAAAAAAAAAAGAAAGGGAAAAAATGAGTCCCAATCCTTTGTGGCATTAATAGTGGGCAAATTGTTCTACAAAACTAGTGAGTTGCTCTTGCGCCCCTTTTCTCTTAAATTATTCTTGAGTAGATAAAAATGATGTGAATAATTACCTTCCGAACGTCTAGCTATTGTGCTGTAAGAGGGAATGTTAGATATATGGCTCATAAACTGAGCAGAGCAACTTAATAAAAGAGTTTGATTTATTAATTTTTCTAAGCTGTATAACATCTGACATTGTGGTTTCCTGTGATAACAGGCGGTTTTGATGGATGTGAAATCCTTTTTTTCCCTGGCTCGGTGTGGTCTCTAATTAAATGATACACTAGGGCTCAATAGGCTCAGATGCCTTTTTAGCTTTTCCAGATTTTTTATTTTAATAGATCCAGAACCTCTGGGGGAAAAAAAAGTTTGATACAGTATTGTGTCTATGTGCTGTAATGGATCTTTGACTGATTCATGTCTGCTAATGCCAGGGTAAAGAGGTTCCATTGTTCGGCCCATTTTTACCATGATTTGGTTCTTGAAAGCCTCTTTTTTTGAGAGGGAGAGAGCCATTAGCTCAAAACTGTCCTTTCTCAAATAGCACATTTTGCAAGCAATTCTCTCAGCTGTTCACTCCAAAAAGGCTTTGTTCTTCCAACCAGACTTTTGTCTTTGTGTATGGGGTGTGTGTGTGTGTGTGTGTGTGTGTGTGTGTGTGTGTGTGTTAGAGAGAGAGAGGCAGAGAGAGAGAGGCAGAGAGAGAAAGAGCATGGGCAGGGGGAGAGAATGATTTAAAAGTAATCACAGGATCAAAACACACCTAAATGCAGATAGTCCCAGGTATGGTGCTGCCAATTGGATCAGGGCTTGTGTGAAAAGCCACCAGAGCTGCAGAGCCTTCAGAGCTGGCAGCCAGCTGGAGTTAATATGGAGGCAGAACATCTGATATAAACTGCAGCGCTTTTGTATGGAAGAATGTTTTGTCCGTCAGCTTCACAGAGAAATGCTTGCTTACCCCTCTTGGAGAGGGAATAAAAGCTCTAGGGTGGGGTGGGGTGGAGAGGAAGAAAGGGTGAGGGAAGGGGTCGCAGGTGGATTAAGGTCCACTGAAAAATTAGCCAGGTAAGTATGTCTGTGTCCTCATCGGCACTATTCATTTAAAGCACGATTATTCATAGCTTCCCTCAAAGTATCCTGGTGTCAAGGGCTCCGAGAGTTGCTAGGAGACCCCTATTTCACTCATGGAGCTGCAATTCCCAGAGTTCCCTGGGAAGAGGGCCTGAGTGTTAGTTCTGTGAGGGGAATGGGGTGTGTGTGTCTCCTAACATCTACACCTCCCAGGATTCTTTGTGGGGAGCCAAGACAGTTAAAGTGATAGGACCGTGCTTTAAATGCATGGTGCAGGTGAGCTCCATGTATTTCCCTGCCTGCTTTCAATAACGTGTTCACTTGCTTTGTTTATTTGGAAGGCTTTGACGCAGCCTGAAGTTGAATGGCTCCTCCATGAGCTGTCGCTGAGAGAACGCAGCCCTTATAGCACTCGGTGACAGCTGGATCACTTAGCACTTTAATCAGAATCCAAGTGGTTGCCGTAACGACTATTTGACCTTCTGTATCATAAAAACAAAACAAAAACCCACTTGGGTTTTTCTTCTTTTCTTCATTGGTGCATTATTATATAAGTCCACCTTGGAAGGCAGGACAATTCTGGCCCTTCTTCATGTTCTCTCTCTCTCTCCCCTCACCCCCGCCTGGTGTTGTTCTTCTGGCATCCACATTTTGGTGTGCGCAGCTCATCAGCGATATCTGATCTTGCAGTAGGGAACGCTCAGTCGCAAAAGTATGTGCTCAGTCTGAAATTAAAGCTCAATTTAGTTTAATTGTCCTTGATTTTATCAAGTGCATCAAACGACTCATTCCATATGCAAAAATAAATGCAGAGGAAAAACAACTAAAAATGCCTCCATCTTAAGAATAAACTGCACTATCAAGTGTCACCATCAGCCCTGTGTTATTTTGGTTGCTGCTCTCAAATCCAGTCATATGGCAGCTGTTGTTGTTTTTTTCTGTTGGGGGGGGGAAGGACTGTGTTCAATTCACGACCATTCAACAAGGAAAAGATCAATTGTAAGAAATCCTCATACTGGCCTCAGGTGACCTGTGAATAGGGCTAGACAAGTCTGTCAAATTCAGTTTCTCTCAGTGTCTGGTTTTGCCAGTCTCAGGCCCTCTGCATTTCCACATCAGTATTCATTAAAAAAATAAATAAATAAATAAATAAATAAATAAATACAGAGCTCCTCATGAAAATTCACCGGCATTTAGAGTGAATGTCTCCTATTATACACATTCTACATATGTATTTTTATGCATACTTCAAGCTAGCATATGCGTTTTTGTACACACTGCTTCGCTTTTGAGCTGGATGACCAATGGCCTGGCTCAGTGCAAGGAAGCTGCCTATGTTCCAGAGAGAAGCAGCTCCGCAAAATCCCAAATGCTCCCCATTTGCTCCTCTTCAAGTTCTGAATGCCCTCTGAAATTTGTTAAATTGCCACCAGGGTGGAGCAAATTGCCCCAGTTGAGAATCACTGGTCTAGGTAGACAATGCTGACCTAGACAAACCAATGGTCTGGCTTTGCATAAGGCAACTCCCTGTGTTACTACTAGCAATTGCCACAGTGAGACAATTAGTTACCTAGACCTGTCAGTTAACACAGACATAAAAAGAACTCACTGAAATAGCAGAGGTAGTGAGAATAGCAGGTTGTAGGATTTCAGCCAAAATTCATCATACTCTTAACAAATTTGTTCCCCGACACCACAGACCCATCTTGTATGACTTGTGAGCAGCCTTCCTTCACGGGTTTCTTGCGGTATAAACTTTATTGTCGTTTTTCCTTGTTTGCTTTTTGATTGGCAGGTTGCCTTATTGCACAATGGCCCCCAGCGTGCTTGTTTCCCATCGGATGGTAACTGAGGCCTTCCGGCAAAGGGTCGCCTGCTTTTGTTCGCACGAGTAGCAAATTAAATTTTCCCCTCCTGCCATGTAGCACAGAGCTGAATGCCAGTCCAATGAGTCATCAAACTTCACCTACTGTCAAGTATGCCACCGAAACTTGTTGATGGCAGAAGCTGAGCTAGAGTCTGTCAGAGCAGAAGCGCAGTTGAGAAACGACTTCCTTTCCTTTTCGTTTTCAAAACCCCTGTCCATACATAGAGATTTCCACAAAGCATGAAACCACTGCTAAACTGTTTTTGTCTCTTGGTCGAGAAGAATAATTTAGCCCACTTCCTTTTTATCACACCTGCATCCCTTGAAATGTGCCATGTGAGCCCTCCCTCCCTCTCTGCTGCTCAGTGGCTCGGAAGATTGAGAGCTTCCCTGTTCTTTGGACTATCAAATACACTTGATTTGCCCAAGAGCATCTTGGCAAGGAAGTCAAACAAAGGCGGTCATGCTGAAAATGAAGTCTCTGAAACAGTGAATATGGATTAATTTAATGTTGCGGCCACCGTCGCTCACCCTGTTGAAATCTGGGACCCTATGCCGCCCAGGAGGGCATGGGAGGGAACACTTTGTGCAGCTATTCCCTTCATAACATTGCACCGAGAAATAAAACACACTGTGCTTTTCTGCTTCATCTAGCTCTGAAACTGATTTTGAATGATGGCTGGAGCATATTCTGGGTAGGGCAGGAGCATATTCTGTATACAGTGGTACCTCGGGTTACATATGCTTCAGGTTGCATACACTTCAGGTTACAGACTCCACTAACCCACAAATATTACCTCGGGTTAAGAACTTTGCTTCAGGATGAGAACAGAAGGAGGCCCCATTAGCTAAAGTGGTGCTTCAGGTTAAGAACAGTTTCAGGTTAAGAACAGACCTCCCGAACGAATTAAGTACTTAACCCGAGGTACCACTGTATAAGCAGATGCAGGGCTTTATTCACTGCACAGATCTATGCTCACGGTCTCATCTTGGGCATGGTCCACGGGCACATGACACCAGCTGGCCTGCTGAAGCTAAGCAGGTCTGGGTCTGGCCCGATGCATGGATGGGAGACCATGTGGGAACGTCCTGTATGCCATCTTCCATAAGAGAAGAAAGGGGGGGGGTATAAAGGTACCAAAATAAACAGATAATGTGGTTTATAAAAGTATGGCTGGCTTAACTGTTATGCTCAGTATGCTCCAGACAAGGGGTTCTGATCTAGTGCAATTATACAATTGTGTTTCTGTTTCACTGGTTTCCCAACTAGTAGGTTGTAAAACACTGTGGAGTGGTGGAAGCCTCTTTTGTGTGTTGTTGAATTCTCATCCATGGCCGCTTGAAGGAAATCATGGATGGGGAATGTTGGGCCTGAGGCAGAAAGATTTGTATATGTGTATGTGTTGTGTTGCATTGCATTGTGTTGCATTGCACTGTGCATATGTGTGCAAGATCTTCCTAGTACAGGATTTTGGAACTGAACTTGCTGCTTATGATAGCTTTCTTAAATCTCTCCATAGCTCCTTTTTAACTCCGTTTCCAGCTGATTATGGAAAGGCAGTGCCTCAGCAGTGCTAAAATGCTCTGGTGTGGATGAAAACCAAGCTAGTCCTCCCTACATGACTATAGGAACCTAGAATCATAGAATCATAGAATCATAGAGTTGGAAGAGACCACAAGGGCCATCGAGTCCAACCCCCTGCCAAGCAGGAAACACCATCAGAGCACTCCTGACATATGGTTGTCAAGCCTCTGCTTAAAGACCTCCAAAGAAGGAGACTCCACCACACTCCTTGGCAGCAAATTCCACTGTCGAACAGCTCTTACTGTCAGGAAGTTCTTCCTAATGTTTAGGTGGAATCTTCTTTCTTGTAGTTTGGATCCATTGCTCCGTGTCCGCTTCTCTGGAGCAGCAGAAAACAACCTTTCTCCCTCCTCTATGTGACATCCTTTTATATATTTGAACATGGCTATCATATCACCCCTTAACCTCCTCTTCTCCAGGCTAAACATGCCCAGCTCCCTTAGCCGTTCCTCATAAGGCATCGTTTCCAGGCCTTTGACCATTTTGGTTGCCCTCCTCTGGACACGTTCCAGTTTGTCAGTGTCCTTCTTGAAGTGTGGTGCCCAGAACTGGACACAGTACTCCAGGTGAGGTCTGACCAGAGCAGAATACAGTGGCACTATTACTTCCCTTGATCTAGATGCTATACTCCTATTGATGCAGCCCAGAATTGCATTTGCTTTGTAGCTGCCGCGTCACACGGTTGGCTCATGACAAGTTAGTGGTCAACAAAGACTCCTAGATGCTTTTCACATGTCCTGATCTCTAGCCAGGTGTCACCCATCTTGTATTTGTGCCTCTCATTTTTTTGCCCAAGTGCAATACTTTACATTTCTCCCTGTTAAAATTCATCTTGTTTGTTTTGGCCCAGTTCTCTAATCTGTCAAGGTCGTTTTGAAGTGTGATCCTGTCTTCTGGGGTGTTAGCCACCCCTCCCAATTTGGTGTCATCTGCAAATTTGATCAGGATGCCCTTGAGTCCATCATCCAAGTCGTTGATAAAGATGTTGAATAAGACCGGGCCCAAGACAGAGACTATAGGTAAGACAGGATTAGGTATATAGGTTTGATAAGGCAAGACCCTGAGCTGTACTTCAGCACTGAGTTCCTCCCATTACTTTAATCCAGCATTGGAGTAACTATTATTTCCTTTCCTTCTGGGAAGGATACCATAGTACTGGGAAGACCCATCTGTATCTCAAGTTGCTGTTAAAGCTCTAAACCACTTGATGTGGTTTATTCATGCAACCACAGCTGTGGCAAATGTGTCCATGGTCTTGATAGGGCCAGTCCTCTTGCACTAGGTCTTTCCATCTCTCTCTTTCCCACTCTCTCAGTAGTCTTCATCATACACGCTCTGAACCCTCTAGATGGTTGCGCTGCTTTACAGAAAACAAAATGCCTTTCCAGAGCCAATGCCACTCTTTTCTGAGGCCTGTGGAAGAGCAATGAAGCTCTCGTCTGTCAGCCTCAGATATGAATTTAAATTAAATCTCATTGAACTGGGCTCTCCCTTTTGATTTATTGGCAGATGCCTCTTGGTGTTGAAGCCTTGTTAAATTTTGAGCAAACGCTTCACTGACCAGCTGTTCCTATTAAGCCAAAAGTGGGCTGTAGCACAGGGTCAATTTCTCCTCACGTTTGACGATTCCGGCGTGTCATCTTGCGTGGCACTTTTGCAGTTAGGGCATTATCTGCCGAGCACCCTGGGAGTGGGCTGGTTAATATGAATAAAGTATAAGCCTCCAGTCCCTTTCCACTTCTTGTGTTTTTGTATGCTACAAATCAACACAAGCTCTAATAAGCTTCCTGTTGAGAGATGAAGCAGCATCATTTTCTAATTTAAGCATTTCGGTGACTTATTAAATGCTGTTGACTATGAACCAGTCGGTGATTATTCCGATGAGTGCAAAAAGAAAAAGAAAAAGAAAACTTTTTAAAAAGTGCTGCTGTGTTGCATGTGTTGGTTAAGAAATCAAGATTTGTTTTTGTGTCTTCAAGTCTCAGAGCACCGAGGCTGGTATTTAACATTCAGAAGAGGGTGTTTTAGCAAACAAGAGGCTGCTTCAGGCACGGAGTAATGATTCTGGGGCTCATTATACCAAAGGCAGGGCACTGGATGTTTCTCGACTCCCTTCCTCCAGTGCCTCAAGCTCAGCACAGTGACCTCGCTGGCATACAGTTCAAATGCATCTCTCTGTCAGGTGAAGCATGCAGATCAGCTGTTGTTCTTTTCACGCCAAGTCAGAGGGAGAAAGTAAACAACTGGCTATGGACACACCTCAGGGACTCCCGTGGCACCTGAAACATTAACGCCTGAGGTGCTTCTATGGTGAAGAACCTATTTCAGGTGTAACCAATATGGTGCCTTCCAGGTATTTGTTAGGCCGCACTTCCCATCATTCCTGACCATGAACCATGCTGCTCTAGGGTTGATGGGAGTTGGAGTTCAATGTCTTCTGCAAAGCACCACCACATTGACTATGCCTCCTCTATTTAATCTGATGATGGATGTTTTTGCTACACTGGGCTAAAGTGGCTGCTGTTTGGGACAGAAGAACCACCCTGTTGGGTCAGACCCAAGGTCCCTCTAGTCCAGCATACCATATCCTACAGTGGTCAACTGGATGTCTGTGAGAAGCATGCAAGTGGAGCATGAGTGCAACAGCACACTACTCTTCTGCTCTTGTTCCCTGCTGCTGGCATTCACCTGCTAAGTGGCAACTTATAGTTTAGGAACCACTTCTGCCCAATGTAAATGCAACAGGCAGCACTTTTTTAAAAAAATGATGTTACACATCACAGGCAGCCAATAAGTGCCACTGCTGCCACAAAAGAGGACACACACCCCCAAGAGAGGGAGAGAGGTGGTAAGGCAGCAATGCAAACATTTGCCCACTGTGGCAAAATTCGTAGCTCCTGCACTGAGCCATTACTATAACGTGTGAAATGCCACAGGCAATGCTTTTCATGTCACCTGACAAGTATGGCATTATGAAAGATCCATTTCAAGTCACCAAGGAACTGAGCATGTGCAAAGGTCTTATAGTGCTGACACTATCTGGGATGAAGCCATTTTCCTTGCTCATTGAAAGAAGATTGGGGGCGTGTGTTGTGTGTGTGAGGAGGAAGGTGTGGGCTCAGGCATGGACCTTATCTCTGATATAGAAGCATGTCCTTAAAAAAACAGCAGAAAATCCAGACACCAGTAAATTATTTAATATTTATAGGCAAAAGATTTAAGAGCGTGAGCTGAAAGCTTAATGCGTGGTGGTGAAGACATCACACTTTATTCCCAGCCCTGTCACTTCCACTTAGGCTTTCCCTGTTCCCAACATAGACCTTGTCGAACTGAGCTCATCAGCATCTTTTTAATTCCATAAGAGTTGCAAATTGGCTTTAAAAACCCCAAAGATCTGATCTTGCAGTTTCCTTTTCTTTCCTTTCAGCTTCAGATGATCTGAAGGCCTTCATCTAGCCAAACAGCTATGATATTAAAAAGGCTTAAGAAATTCAGGTTATTCTAATCTTTCCCTCTCTACTGCCCCCCACCCAAGAATGAGTTGTCCAATGCTCTTAGGGATTTGCCCTCAATATTTGAACTTGGAATTCTGGGTCAGATTCTCCACACAGAGTGAGAGGGAAGGAGAGAGGGAGGGAGGGAAGATATGAAAGAAATGTCAGTTTCCTGCTTCTAAGTTGTCTTGAGCCTTTTCAGACCCAGGACCCACTTTTAACCAAAACATGCATTAAGGGACCCATTTCTCAATCTCCTACCATATATCTGCATGGTGGTAGTGACCCACTTTGGATCAGGCCACAATCCACGAGTGGGTCCTGGCCCACCATTTGAAGGCCAGTGGTCTGAAGCATGCTTTTGAAATGTGGGAGATATCTTTACTCATCTACATTCCACAGAATTCACTGCTGATGACAAGAGGCGAGTAGTTATTATCTGAAGAGGCCGATTTGCCTGCAAGCAAAGAAAAGGGATTTGTGGGTCAAGGTTGTTGAGAATTCTTGTTTGGGTTTATTTCAGTGTATATCAAGATTGTATCTGATGAAGGGGGCTCTAGGCTTTATGCTATATGGTAGGCTTTATGCTATAATAAATCCATTCCTACAGATGCCCCAAGGCTCTTTGTTGTTGTTTTTCCTCATAGTCGGGGCTGGACTTTTCCCATGTGATCCTGCTGGTCCCACAGGGTCTCTGCAGTCCTATGTTGTGTCAGAGGAGCATAGGTTGGGACCACATGGAAGCTACAAATGTTCAATCCTGAATGTCAGAATCAACCATTAATCCAGCAGGCAATTACAAAGTAGTATGGCAAGAGGTGGGGAGCCTCAGGCCCTTCTCTCTAGCCCCTACGTTACACCTTCTCCTCAGGACATACCCTCCAGGAGCCCTTCTCTATGTGCTCCTTGTGAGATATTTTGCCTGGCTGGAATGGTCCTTGACTTTTGAGAACGCTTGGTGGATGGAGAGGTATGTTTGCAGAAGTGTCTTTTTGCTTGGCTGGAATGTAGCACATTCCACAACTGTTGCTCCTCTGCCCCTGCCCACTACAGACACGTGGCCTGCGGAGTTTCTCACCCTTGTAATGGGACCTCTTCTTCCACCATCAGCGCCAGCAATCAGGGAAGGAGGGAAATACCAGCAGATCCTGGGTTCACATTAAGGCCTCTACTCCAACAAGATACCATAATGGAAACCAAGCCTTATGAGGAAAGGTTGTAGGAACTGGGAAAGAGGAGACTGAAAGGAGATATGATGGCCATCTTCAAATATCTGAAGAGCTGTCACATGGAAGATGGAGCAAACTTGTTTTCTCCTGCTCTGGAGAGTAGGACTTGAACCAATGGCTTCAAGTTATAAGAAAGGAGATTCTGACTAAACACCAGGAAGAACCTTTTGACAGTAAGAGCTATTTGACAGTGGAACGGTCTCCCTTGGGAGGTTGTGGGCTCTCCTTCCTTGGAGGTTTTTAAGCAGAGGTTGGATGGCCATCTGTGGTGGATGTTTTAGTTGAGCTTCCTGCATTGCAGGACTAGAAGACCCTTGGGGTCCTTTCCAACCCTACAATTCTATGATTCTGTGATTCTGTTATTCCAATGCAAATTAACTCTGGCCTCAGTGCATTTTAATTATCTTTTTCACTCAAAACAAGGTTGCTTAAAGACTGGAGGAAAGGAGGGCAAATTATTTAACCTCTTTCAACCATGCTAAACTTATCAGATCAAATTCTGAGCAGCAGATTCCAGGGGTGGCAACAGTTCCCTGCCTGCCTCCATATCTGTGCATTGCTGAAATTGCTGTAGCATATATATAACGAGGTGTTTGAGAAGCTGCCAGTAGATGGTTTTAATCCTCTTGTAAAACCTATGCAAAAGCACTGGCAGAAAGCACGGAATCTGGAGCAGGGCTGGACCCAGACAATTTGCTCCCTGAGGTGGCAAAGCAGCAAATGATCTTGTGCCTCTATCAAAGCCAAGATGCTTCGTTCAGAAGGCTGGCCAAGTTCTTTTGGCACCTGAGGCAGAAAAAAAATCCCACAAACACCTCTCCCCTTCCCTGGCATTTAAAATACAGAAATAATGAAATGCCTAACAATTAGCTCCTGCTCATGACACCCCAAAACAGTGAAGGAGATTAAACCTACCTATGTCTAATTTCTCTGAAGGTGAATTTAATTTAATTTAATTATAACACCTGACTGCAGGTAGTCCTTCAGCTACCACACAGTTCTAAGTTTATTGGGGTGAGCCAGCTTATTCAGGCAAGACCAGAAGACAACAGAAATAGATTATCTAAAGAGTTTATTATAAATAGAATGCTTAAACATTAGAGTCAACAGAGCAAAGCTGACACATACTTGTAGCCAGTAAAGTAGTAAAACAATGAGTCAGCAAGACACCCTAGGTAGGTATGAAAGTAAACTCATAGCAGGTAGCTGTGAAATTGAAGACGAGGCTTGGGTTCTGCTCCTGGTTCTCTTCTCTCCCCAGTACTAGACTTTGACCTAGGCTGGATCTAGACATGTCAAAGAAGCGATTCAGTTAAACATGTTGTAAACTCATACAGGGAGATCCGGTAGGGAAAGAAGGGACTCCACAGCGCCATCTGGTGTCATAGTGTTATATCGCATATACAATGCTTTTTCTTTACCAATCTAGCTGAGTCCCAATGCCATTAACCTCCATTGTCTCCCCTCCTTGGGGGAGAAACCTATTGTTTAATTCTTGCAGAGATCCTTAGAACTGTTTCTCATCGCTCCCTTCCTGATGCATTAATTCATCTCCTGTTTCCCCCCTCCAGTAGGCACAACTGACCACAATTTCTTATGCACACCCCTGTGTGCTAACATTCCTCCTTGCCTGGCACTTTGTTTCCCATTTGTGCTGGCTATCTCTGCTCTTTATTCTGTTTTCCTGACAGTTGCATCCAAATGTGCTAGAATGTACTTGCAGCTAGAATTAATGCCAGCTATTAATGCTTTTATTTTTGCTTTGGGCAGGGCTTTTTTTTTTCAGCCAGAACTCACCGGAACTCAGTTCCTGCACCTCTCATTGCCATTATAAGAGAACAATGGAGGTGTTCATGGTGAGTTCTGTCTCACTCTTACCTAATGCTAGGGCCAGTCCTGATCAACCTTGCTCATAAGATGAGCAATTTATACATTGCTGCCTATCAAATATTTGGAAGGCAGAGGTGAGCATGGGTGATTCAAGTGCAGAGCTGTTAGTTTGACCCCAGCCTGACCTCTGTGGGATCAAAGCTTTTTACTTACGCGCATCTACCACCCACTTCTGTGGTTCATTCTTGAGGCTGAATATCAATTACAGTGTTACTGCTGCTTTTTCCCATGTCTTGAACTTCCCCTGGTATCAACCTCAGGAGACCAGATATTGAAATGGATCTAATCTGTGATGGGCAAGTTCGGGGTGTGGGTGTGTCAGGAAAGCCCTGCTTAATATGCTGTTTGTAAGCTGAAATGGCTTGGCTGAGCAATGTATTGCACATGGAAGTCACCAGAGTTTCTTCTTTTTCATGCTTCTTAGCAGGCTGCATTTCAGTAGCTCAGCCAGAAGGCTACATAGGGAGGTGGCTTCAAGGTGCTAAATGCAATTATAAATTTGAGATATCAAAACACGGAAGTTTTTGATCGCATGCTAATGATCTCCTTGATGAAATGCTTTTCATCATGCAATTTTCATCTCAAGGAAGTGTGTGTGTGTGGGGGGGGGTTGTTTCGCACTATTAGTTCACCTCTAGAAAGGTTTGGAAAATTGGGGAGGGAATTAGCATTGCCAACAGAGGATGTAGCTCAGTCCACCAACAGCTACGCACATGCAGAAGCCAGAAACAATTTGTGCCAAACAGTGTGGTGTTTGTAGGTGAAGGAACCCTAGAGAGCAACCTGCTGCATCCTAGGTTTCCTACCTCCAGGGATGTAGGATCAGGATCCCATTCCATGGGGGCTGCTGGCAAGGATTTTGATAGAAAACAGAGGATGTTAGATGCAGCTGCAGAGAATGACTTTGAAAATGGCTCAGAGCCTTCTATAAAAGCAGCTCTGAAGGAAGGGAGGGAAGATAAAAGTAGACAGGGAAGCAAGTCTTATGGGGATGTCAGAAAGACCTGCTTCTTCCCCATTGCCACCCTCTCCCTTATATAAATGGTCCTAGTCACAGAAAATGCTTGGCTTTTATAAGGCATTAGGTGTTACAGCACACTCTAAATACACCAGTCCACTGGTAAGCTCTCCTGCAAAGAGTAAGTGCACTCCATGTTTTACTTGTTCAGTCAAGGAATTTTCTTTCCTGGCAGCTCTGATGAAACATTTTAGTTCTGGGGCAGGAAAGCCCTCATGCAATTCCTTCCATGACCATCCCACATTCCTAGGCAAGCAAACCAGTGTGGTGTAGTGGTTAAGAGCGGTAGTCTCGTAATCTGGTGAACCGGATTCGCGACTCCGCTCCTCCACATGCAGCTGCTGGGTGACCTTGGGCTAGTCACACTTCTCTGAGGTCTCTCAGCCCCACTCACCTCACAGAGTGTTTGTTGTGGGGGAGGAAGGGAAAGGAGAATGTTAGCCGCTTTGAGACTCCTTAGGGTAGTGATAAAGCAGGCTATCAAATCCAAACTCCTCCTCCTCCTCCTCCTCCTCCTCCTCCTTGGGGTCTGCTTCCCTGTGAGGTCTGCTTCCTTGTCTACACTTGCTCCATTCAGGGACTTGGGGTGACTCTTTCTTCATCTGATTTGTTTTTGGGTCCTAGCCAAGTCCATCCCACAGCCCTACTGAGTACCTGCAGAGGGTGCCCTAATGGAAATGTTATCCAAATGTATCAAGTGCACAAGGCTTCAGTAGACCAAGGAAAGAGCTGTCAGGCAGTCAGAACTTTGCAGGCCTACTGGGATTCCCCCCCCCCCCCGGTTAGTTTTCAGAATAGGAGGAGCCAGGAAAAAAATTGTTTGCTCACTGTTTCAGTTGTTTTCCTGTTCTCTATAAAATGTGGCTTTCTCTCTCTGTGTTAAAAAAATGATGATACTCTTCTGACTGTGCTTGGAGGTATTTTCCTTGCTTTCTTTAAACACATTTTTTTCTGGTTGGTGAAAAGGCACTCTGCACGTGCTCAGTGGCAGCCTGTGACTCCGGAAGGATGGAAACAAGCAGGCAGAAATCCTTCAGAGCAACTTGCCTGGGGCCTAATTAAACGAGCTAAAGGTGTGTCTATGTGTGTGTATCATTAACCCTGTGCCCAGGTGTAGGTGTCATAGCATATGTTTAGTGGAATGCTTGGCAAAAAGAAAAGAAAAAAAGCTTTGCAAAGCAGCAGCCCAGGAAGCCACCTCTGAGCATTGCTAAGCTGCCAGCCTGCCTTGCTCATTCGATAAAATACACAAACATCTGCCTGCTTGTTGTGAGGCAAGGACACAGCAGTGATCTTCGCCAGCATACTCACCTCCAATGGTCTTCCAATGTAATTACCCTTCAAGGCTTACTAAAACAACAGTAGCCACAGGATGTTATTTACAAATGCGTCACTGTCATAAATCTGCTGCTCTGGACTCGACACATTGGATGCTTCCCCCAGACCCTGTCAGCTACCCACCCATATGGAAAATCCAGAAGCTCATCAGGCACACATGTTTTGTTCTGTGAGTGCCGAGCTGCATGAAAGGCTGTGAATGAATATAAATGAATATACTAAATGTGAGTAACACATTTGGGGAGGGGGGGGAGTGAAGAGGGATAATAGCCGAGCCTAAGAGCTAATTTGAAAGAAGAGTCACAAATGCACACCATGTTGAAATGACTCCCCTGCCAGAGAGAAAGTGGGAGTAGGAAGCTGCAACAGGAATTTGGTTTTAAAAATATTTCCACCCATTTAAACGTTGCTTTTTGAGCGTTTTGATGGGTGCTAAGTCCCCCCCCCGCGATATAGTTGAGTTTATCACAGCCTCATGGCCCATTGATCTTTGCCATTCAAGAGGCATAGCCTAAATATCTTCAAAGGAAGGTATAAAATAGGCTGAGTCTTTGGAAGGCAGAGATTTTTTTAAAAAGGCTTCGGGCTAAAAAATATATTAAAGGAAGCACGGACAAAGTCAAATAGAGGTTTAATTTTGTTTCTCTATCAGACCCTGCCTCCCCCACCCCACCCCATGCCATTTCACACTGTGAGTGTGAAAGAAAAAGGATTTCTCTGAACTTTGAGTCCTTACATGGAGAGGTGAGTCTAATTAAACTCTCAGGCTGTGCCTGTATTGGTGGAGAGGCAGGAATCCAGCCATAAAGGTCACCCATGGGTCTGGTTTTTTTATTCTTTTGACATTCTGTAGAATTTTTTAAAATATAGTTTATGCACTTTTGCTTATATTTATCTGTTTGATAATTTAGTTCTGTACAAACATTAGCACTGGATCCTTATACTGACCTCGTTCCTGTCTCCAAAATAACCAGTAGATTAAAAAGTAGTAGCCATTGTTGTCTCACGCTGCTTTCAAAAGGTGCTTGGCTCCACTTCTCATGACCCTCCCGGACCAAGGAGGAGTTTCTTGTTCTGATGGTGAGCTGCTGCTAAGGTGAATGAAGTCACTTATATATGGGGCAACAGTTTGCAATCCTTTGGGACACTTGAAGGGGCATGCTGAAACCTAATGCACACCGTCACTCATCCTGCAAGGACCTTTGCTAGTGGCTGAGAACCAGTGTGGTGGAACAGAAAGACCCAGGTTCAAATTCCCACTTAGTTGGCTAAGTGGCTAAAATCTGGCTAAGATTTTGGCTTCTCTCAAGTTTCTTACTTTTCCTATCTTAAGCTCAGATCTTCTATATCAGAAAGTGATTTTTTAAAAATCCTCATGAAGATTCATTAGCACTTTGAAGCAAATTTCTTCCAAGGTAGATGTTTGTATACCATTTTGCCTAATACTCATTGTTACAAAATACTCTGCCCTAAAATAATGCATTTTTGTACGTTATTTTCATGCAAATATGCATTTTTATGCACACATTTTACCAAAGGCACTTGCATATTTGTACACATGACTTTGCTGACTTTTCTACCACAAAATTCAGAGAAGTGCAAATTCTGACGGATGGCTGTGTTTTGGTTCACCTGTTGTTTCAGAAAGTGCAAATTAGGCAGGTTTGCCTTTAAATGCAAACTGAAATGACTTTCTCTGCCATCCCTGACCATGAGGCTCACTGTATGACCTTGGGCTAGTCCCTCTTCCTGAGCCCAACAGTCTAATGTCTATCTTAGGGCTGTTGTAAGGTTAATAGTAAGCAGAGGGGAAGGAAATGTGTGTGCTGCCTGGTGGAAGGTAAGGTTACAAAAACGAATAAATAGTATTGGCTTGCTCTCAGCACAAATGAGTAATTCCCATAATACTACTGGGGTGGAGCGGGGGGAAAGCGCTTCATCTCAGGCATTGCATGATAAGTGAATCTGGTGAAATTTCCTCTGCCCCCCGTTTGAAGTCACAGGAGCTCTTTTCCTTCATCCGGATACTCTTTAGGTGAGATGGAGAAGCATGCCTGGAGACTATCTAGGAAGAACAACCATCTCCCTTGAAGGCACTGGATGCTGTTGCCTGAAGACAGAATTAGTTCATCAGACTCCAACTCCTCAAGCTGAGCAAGGAGGCAGATAGTATATGCTTGCATGATACTGCAGAAAATGAACAGCCCTAATTAAAATGATAGCAGTGTTTTTCTAGACTGCTTAACTTCTGTCAACTTAATTTGTCCTTTAATTTATGCTGCCTTGTCATGGACTTGGTACATTTCTTGCAGTGGGTGAGAGAGGCAATATTTAATATTGTTGCACACCAGCCCAATCTCTGAGTGGTATGAGATCCCAGCGGTTCCAGACACTTGTCCAGGGTTTGGTTTGCTTGGAATGAGGAACAGCAGAGACTGCGGTGTCTTTATGATATATGGTTTATTTACACACACATATATATAACTCAAGGGGCTCACAGCATTAACACCACTGAAGGTCTTGCATCAAACAGAAATCAAGCCTGGCTCTCACCCTTTGGCTTCTGCCAGCAGCCTGCTTCTTTCTCACTGCCAGCTGGGGTGGTCTGGTCTACTTTTGTCATTAAATGAAGTGCATAGGGGAAGGGACCAAAACAACTCTCTACTCCCCCCCACCACCTAAAGCTCTACTGCTTTAATTTTTTTTCCTCCTCAGCCTGGCTCCTCTCTCAAAAATGAGCTAAGTAGGGACTCTTCAAGCAGTAGAGGGTGGCTAATTTCATTCACATCCCTCTGCACTCTGTTTTAGGGATAAAAGTAGACACCCACCTCTGTTTTATAGCCAACCAGTGAGCGTGTGTTTAGCAAGCAGCTACAACCCTATTTTGGCCCTTGGAAGACCCTGCCAAAATGACCCTTCCTAAAAAGGAAGACTACTAAAAAGGTAGATATATATTGCAGACAAAGTTTGGTGCCCTGCCAGGGCGACCTACCTTTTCTGCATCACTCCAGAGTGGTTTTGATAGGTTCATTTGTTGTATCTGTCCTTCCTTTTCAGAAAACTGTCTTATAAGGGGGATTATTGGGTTATGAAGAAAGCAAGAAACAGCAGCAAATATACTTATAAAAAAGAAAGTGTGTGGATCTAGGGAAAGATGTCTGGTTTCCTAGAATGAAGGGACAGAGGTGGCAGAGAACTACTTTTGCCACTCAACAACACATCCAGGGACCAGTTCCCTGCTTCTGCCACCCCCCCCCCCCGAGATGCCTGTAGAGCCTATGCACAGATAATAGGATAACAGATAGCCAGATAATTCCCAGTCCCATGCTATTCAATGGAAACATTATGTCCAAACTGAATGAATTACGTATTGCATTTCCCCACTCAGAACCGAGATGGCCCAAGGGCAGCATGACCTGGATTTGCTCTTCTTAGGGGGAGAAAACAATGAAGACTAGTTGCATTTTTGTATAAAGAAAATTACTGACAACAGTACAAATGCTGCTACAAGGAGAGGGAGCAGCTCTGCTCCCCTGCAACAACAACCTCCCCCTGAAAGAAAGCTATCCTGCACCCAAAATGCCTTCACTAACTCCCAGCAATATCTCCCTCCCTCCCTCCCCCCCCCTCTCTCTCTCTCTCACACACACACACACACCCATTCTCGCACACCCTAGTCATCTGGCTAACTCATTCAGGCAGAGGAATAAATTGTCCACCTATCTCCCAAACTATAATAGAAGCACCAGCCTAACCTTCATGGACCATTAACAAGTAATCTCCCTAACAAAGGAAGGTTGGCCAGAGGTTATCACTCAGTTGCCTTCCTACTGGTTCCGTTCTTTACCATAGTTGGTTGCTCTTTTGGCTAGATTGCTATGAGTACATAGTAGTTAACAGAACTCTCATCACTAATGTCTGACCTGGGAAGAATGGTGGTCGAATGAGGGTCTTGTAGCACAGAATGAGTCCGATGCAATAATGGTCAATTAGCCTGAACAGGTGCTAGAGAGGGTGGCTGTAGTCTATATGGCCAGCAAGCAAGCGCGCTTTGATTTGTGCTGACACGGCACAGCAATTACAGGAGAACCTGCTGCTCCTCCATCTGTTGTGTCCTGTCCTTTCTTGTGTCCTCAGGCAGTTTCTGGACACAGCCACACAGGTCTCCCCCTTCTGTTTGCATATGCATTTAGCTTTTGGTTCTGTGAATACATATATGCATGTCCCACTGCAGGAAAGTGTGCTTTGAAGAAGCGATTGGGCAATATTTTATTTCATGCCATTAAAAACATAGGAAATTGCCTTATACCAGATCAGACCATTGCCTTGTCTACCCTGACTGGCAGCGACTCCAGCATTATCAGTGTGCATACTCTGGATGTAAGTACTCGGACAAAGGAGAGAAGGAAGGTGTGTGGTGCAAAATATATGCAGAAAAAGACCACAATAGGAATGAAGTGAGAGCCTGGCCAACCAACAACTGTGTCGCGGCATTGACAATGGATCTGGGTGATGGTGGAAGAAAGGTCTAGGGTTTTCGCCAAGCAATTTGCTGGAAAGTCTCTTTTGGTGCTGTACAGGGTGCTGCTGAAATTTGAGACCCCAAGGTCCGCCGCTTCTCAAGTGGCCAAAGTGACCCTTGTAGTAGGGATCCAAGATGGAGGAGAACAGCATGTCCTGTGGAGAAACAATGGCTCAGTTGCAAGTGGGTGCAGTCCTTGCATCCTGCCTGAGCTGCCTGGAGTGGAACATGGTGGTCCACTTGCCAACAGAGCTGTACTCCCTGCTTTGCCTGGTCTCCTGGGCCTCCAA